GGGCGATGGCGGGTTCCCGTGTCATATAACAACGGTTCTACTATGATGATCAACGTTTTTGGGTCACTCCTCGGTCTGGGTGGCTCGTTATTCGGAGTAGAGTTCGTTGAGGGGATGGGAATGGAGGGGCGAAGTTACGAAAGCAAACAAGCCAACGCCGGTCCGGAAACTTGGAATGAGGGCCGAGGATAGAAGCGTGACGACCTAGATATGGACGGCGAGGAGGACGAGCAAGGGAAGGGTGGGGCAACGGGAACGAACGAACGAAACGAAACAATGTACACAGGGAAATCATGTTGAACGCAGAGGCGAATGAGGCCGTCTATTGGTTCTCGTTTTGGGAGTGTACGTGATAAGATGGGCATTGTAAGGTCCGATGGGGTTGTGGCTTGGGCGATGCGAGGTGTGGAGAGTGGAGGGTGAGAGGGAGGGTACATGATCGTTCCCGGTTTCCGAAGTGTGCGTGCGAGTGTGACTTGTTTCCGTTGGTCAGTGGCAGGTCTTTTTTTGGTCTTGGAACGACTCTCGGGATCGTTAGTGTTGAAGAATATTGACCACTGAGATGCGAGAGAAGTGGGTGAGTGACCAGAATTTCATCATGGTATTTTCCTGCCTACCAGCAAGGTTTCATTTCCACTTTCGGGATGATCCATTCTTGAAATCCGGGAATAGCGCGAGATGTCCCCCTTCTGCTTGAGGCAAAGCAAGAGTAGTATGTGAGGATCGGGGTGGTAATGGAGGGAGACATGCGGGCGTTAGCGTTGGTCGCATGAGGAGGGCAAGACGATGGACGGGGAGGGATTTTGGAGATGTGGGATTGGTTGATAATGCAGCTTATTCTGCTTCGTGCGGCGCGTGAGAGCTGGGTGCAAACGAAGGGGGGGTTGACTGGGATGGACGGGCTGAGATATTCTGCTGCCTCTATACTAGTGACATGCAGGTTCAAAGAGACGGACTTTTTCGCGGGCTTTGGTTAGAATCTACCTTTCCGTACCTAAGGTGAGTTGAGGGCCGACTGAAGATGTGTGTGTAAGTCTAGAGGCGGAGGCGGAGGCGGGGATAAATCTGGGTGGCTGGGAAAGGGGAGCTTGGGTGAGCATGGAGAGAGAGAGCTTGGAGCTTGGGGCAAGTGAATTGCATTAGGTTGAGGATTTAGATCCGAGAGCTTTTGGAGAAGAATGGTATTGTTTCCGGCTGGAGAAGTATACCTAGACTACAGAGTAGCGCCGCCGAACTGCCTTGTTTCGCGCGGTGATACAGACGCTGCGGAAAGATGTGCCGTGAATGAGAGAGGCAAGCCACACTTGTACGCGCAACGCTAGAGTAGTCACTCGGGCGGTGCGGGTGGGAAGGATGCAGATGGTGGTGGTGGTGGTGGTGGTGCTTTTTGCCAGGATTTCTTTTCTTCCTGCAGGTTGTCTTAGAGACTTTACGCCAAGAGTAGCTTGTCTTTTTCCGATGAGCTCACTTGCGTCATGGAAGGGGACTTGGGTGAGAGGGAAGGTGAGGTGAAGTGAGAAAAGGTCAGGCACTCCGAAGAAGGGACAACTGAGATTCTCCCGTATTTCATTGGCATTGTGAGATGTCCCATGTGGTGGTCATGATGGTGGTGAAATGTCAACGAGCCGCGCCAGGTCCATCTAGGCGTCCTCCAAAATAGGAACGTAAGACGACAGGCAGACACATAACAGGCCTAGAAACAGAAACCCTCTGTTCCTCGCGTGGGCTTTTCCATTGAAATCATCACCTCCATCGTGCGCAGAGGCACACCAGAACAGGGGAGGAAACACCACCCACCCACCCAACCTGTCGTCGCTCGTATGCGTGTCTCAGACACTCTCGAGGCCGCATGCTTGAGCTCGCGCTCACGGGAGCCAAGATGTGTTGCAGTTGCCCAGTGGGTAGGCAGGCAGGGCACGGGGGAAGCAGTGGTGGGAGCCCGTCACGGGTTTGAGCTGATGACTGGACATTGTGGTTCTTCTTTTCACTGGGTTTGTTGATTTAGAGGTCATCTATCTGTCTCTCATTCCACGGATGTCTCTATTCCCGTATGCACGCCGACCTCCTTGTCCTGCATGAGTTCGCATGATGCTTCCTAAACCCAGCTGCAGGCAGCGAGAGCCACCGCCGCCGCTACCGCCGCTGCTGTTGCAGTGCGTGATACAGAGAACCATGCGAGGAGGGCGTGTAAGTCGCAAATTGTGAGTACCCATGTATACGTGCAACAGAGAAGGAGGAAAACGCCAGAAGAATTCCGTGAGGTGATGAGTGAAAAAGTCCATGTTAGTCTCACCGTACTTTCCTCGGAGGCGAGAGATGCTAAGGCAAGGTCAGGATCTAGGTCAAGGACCGGTGAATACATTAGTCTCAAGGTGTGGATGGAGGCGAAACGGTTCTGCTCACTGGGGTTTCCCGCATCTTACTGGCCTTGTCTTCACCTTTAGAAGATTGCACTTGTGCTGTTAGGTGCAGAAACGGTCTAGTGGCGATGGGGGTTTCTTCCGATCCTTCGCTATCGTCCGCTCGGCTTCTTCTTTACTGCTATCGCATCGCGAGAGCAGGTGAGCAGAAGATAATGAAAAAGGGAACATCATGCAAGCCATGAGTTAGCCTCACGTCGCCGCGATGCGCAAAGTTCGGATGGGAGGAGAAAGTGAAGACGGAAGCAGCAGTTCGTCTCTTTTCTTGCAGGAGAACATCCTCTCCCCTCCAACTTCCCCCCTTTCCCGACATCGCGTCTCGAAGCGGAACTAAGGTGAAGCCAAGGTGAGTCTTGCGATGTAATCTAGAAGAACCGGTCGACGGGATTGCTGACGTTGCACCTTTTCATTGGGCCGTTGCACCTACTTAGCACCTAGCTCTTCATGAGCGTAGTTCCCAAGAGAAATTTCTCTCTTCCCACTTTTGCTGCAAACGGGCTTGACGAGATGAACTGCTGCTCCGTGACTCCCTCAATCTTTGCGGAGAATTTGGGAAAAAAGGAAGATGGACCCGATCGATCTTCACCCATGCAGAATTAATGCAAGAAGAACGCGCGCGGCACGTGTAAGTTTGTCGGATCTGGATTGCGCGGAGATGGAAAGGAGATGTGCATGGCAAATCACCCCCCATGCCATTCCCACTTCCCACTAAGGCACGTTCTACTGCAGTCTCCAAGATTCTTCTGTTCGATTTCAGGTGTGAGTTTCCGAAAGAACGGGGAGGAAGTCAATGACGATGCATGCTTGCCTCGCGTCTTCGCTTCTTTTGCGCGCTTGAGTCAAGGTAAGATGCAAGCGCTGCCACCGTTTCGCTGGGCTTGGTCTGTACTTTGAGAAAAGCGGAATCGATAGACGGTGAATACGGATACAGACGGTCGTACGTTTATTTGGTCGTTCTGTCTTTGCTGGTTGCTCAGGCGGTTCTTGGTATAGACGGTCATACCTACCTCCTCAACTCACCAGATCTTGACAGAGGACCCTCAAGTAATCTATTCCATGGTCCCATTCTCAGACACCGCCCTTAGATTCAGAAAAGACCGGGGGAAGTTCAAAGACATGTCTCATCGGCTCCTGGTGACTCACTACAAACAATATGTTTCTCGAGGACGAAACGCCGTGTAACCCTTGAGCGATACCCTTCGTATGGCTCTCCACACAGGTACCCCTGAGGTAAAGGGGGACCCGCAGGAACAAACACAAAGGCGAGAAAGAAGTAAGGGACGGATGAGCGGCTGAGGGCGAGGAGGTAGCTAGAGTGAGGTAGGGTATCGTGGTAGTTCATCGTGGAACTCCATGACGTTTGTTTGAGCTTGTTCACAGTGGCAGCGCCAAAAGAGTTAAGAAGAGTAGAAGGAACGAAAGAACGAGAGGGGTTTGACGTTACGATGCTACGATTTTGCAACGTCTGCGTATCACCCCGCCCTGACAGCCCCGCGCTCTCTATATGCTGCTGCTGGAAGAAGCAAGTTCGTGACGCCTTGGGAAACCCAAACGAGACTCGGACAAAATTGAGATATTGGTTCGGCCCGGCGAAAGGCACGGTGTGCTTTTCCCTCCCGTGTAGTTACCCGAGTCGGGTGCACCCGTTCTCCGTGCCCCGTGGCCCCGTCTTCCCGGCTTCCGTCATCAGTCATCAGTCACATTACCCGCAAGATAGACGGTCGATGGGATCTCATTGAATAGAATGCATCGCTTTTTTCTTAAAATATGAATGCCTGTGGTGACAATGCGGGGTATGTAGAACAGTAAAATAATAAAGCAAGAAGACAGTATCAGCCTTTGCGACGGCAGCCGGGAACTTGCTATAGGCATCAACATGGCCACAAGCTCCGTGTCTCGCATACAGTATCCAGGTGCTTAACCTGCAAGTCCATCCCAACGAATACTGAAGACGAAGCAAAGGCTTCACGAGAGGACCAGAATCTTGCCCCCCCCCCCCACCCCTTTCCCTGCCTCGCCGGGAGCCAGCTTCTCTGCTTTCCCCACACTCGCGAGACCAAAAGGTTTCGCCCGTCCGACGGCGCACAGCGTAGAGCACGCCGACAAATCGCCGTTACCCACATGGAGTACCTGTGTCTATTTGTCGCCGTACGCACCTTGTCCCGCCTGATGAGATCGCCGTGGTACTCCTATCCCGCTAGGTGAGGGCGCTCAGGAGAGGGGTAAGGGGACAAAAACATGAACTCAGCAAGGGAAAGGCTGACAAAAGAGCCATGTTTTGTGTCCCCATTCCTCTCTCCCCCTCCTTTCGACACCGTCGCTGTGCTTCGGACACATAATCAGGATGGCCCAAGGAACGGCCGAAGCCTCGTGTTACGATCTCGCATGTTGGGCGAAACCGCAACAGGAAAAGACAGGGAGAGAGAAAGTGTAACCGCCGGGTAGAAGCTGAGCGGGACTGCCGAACCGGAATCGGAACGTGCCACCCGTTTCGAGTATGTGATGCTGTGTCACCGGTGGTTCAGTCATTTCATGCACACACTGGGCCCCTCTGTTCCGTGACTTGCTGCCTCCTTATCTCTACTTCTTCTTCTTGTCGCCGGCATCTGGGTCGTACTTTTCCTTCCAGATCCTATTGAGTTTGCGGGTGGTTAGCCTTTGGGTATCACAGAGGAATTCTGGCCACACAGGGTGGTGCTAGATTGTGTGGGTAATGGCGTCAGGAACGCAAAGATAGGGGGAGAAAGGACAGGCGAGCAAGTGAACTGGCAGGCAGGCAAAAAGTAATCGCGACGAATCGCAGCCTCGGGAAGCAGCATCGAGTCTTCGCGGGCGCTCTGGGGAACGCGGCGTAGCACAGGAGGGCTTGCAGCGGCAGGTAACCGCGTGCAGCTCCGGGAAAGCTGACGGTCATCCAAGTTTGAATGACAGGGCGAGCTCCCACATTTTGGGGGGAAGGCAGAATAAAACAATGCCTTGGGGGCCTATCAATGCCGCAGCGCGCAAGTCATCCGCGACAAGGGAGCTGCAGCTTTCCCCCCCTCTCCAGTGATGCATGCGCCGAATCCAACTATGGGGAAAAGCCCCCTCAACGAACCAGTGGGTAAGAAAGAAAGGAATGAACAAACAGGCTCGACTTACCATGAATTGCCTAGTGTTTTGTTGCCGTTCTTTTCAGCCAACCGGTAGTAACGGGCTGCTGCGAACTGGACATGTTGTCAGCCTCATGTGATGACATTGAGCATGCGTCCTGCGCGGGTTCCTGTTTGCGGCCGTCTTTTAGGGTCGCCGTATTGATGCCCAACCTGGACCGAAGCAGGTTGCTGACAACCCAAGTAGGACGTCAACCAGTATCAGCGTGCTCTCTCACGCATCTCATGACATGTGTGGTCTCGCTGAGTGCAAGCCACACAATACCTGAGGCTGCTGAGGCTGATGCTGGCTGCCCCTAAAGACCAAGTTCTGGACCTCACGTCGCAGGACCCGGTAGACGCAATGCCGCTCGAAATGATGGGTGATATGTGACCAAACGTACCTTGTCCTTTTTGCATCCGAAGCCTTCTACATAGCACCAGGCTACCTCGTTCATAGCATCTGAGACGAGCAAGGCGGATTAGCGCACCGCTGCACATTCATTGGGCCTCAACGCCTCGGAGTGCATCATCATGGCAGACTCACCAGTATCTCCAAGGTTCGCCGCAGTCTCATAGTACTATGACGACGAGATGTCAGTTCTAGACCTTCGAGGCGTATCCACCTTGGGCTTCCAAAGGCATTCCTAGCCCCCCTCTCCCATCCTCTGGTCTGTGGACGGGATAACTCACCTGCTTTGCCGCTATTGGGTCCTTGGCTGTGCCCCAGCCGTGTCGAAAGGAATTCGCCAACTCGAATATGGCCAGAACGAGCTCGCCCTTGGCAGCACCACCCTTTTTAAGCCCTGCCTTCAACGCCATCTGCTCGACGGTTGCCGCATTCGACGCCGCCGCCGAGAGGTACTTGATGGCCCCTTCTGGATCTGGTTCGCAACCCCATCCGTGCCTATCAAACCCTGTCAGCAAATCCGTTCAAATAGCCCAAGTATCGTGGCACCTGTAATGTCATGCTCCAAAAGCCCTCCCAGTCCCCACGATGCAACATGATCCCCCGGCGAGCCGTGGCGCGCCCCGCGCCATGATCCCGTCTTATAGGTACGGGAAAAGTGCCGAGTAGGAGCCAAGACCAGTCCACATGCAAGGCAGAAGGCAACTCACCTCAAAGAGAGACCGTATAGAAACTGGCTCAGGGTGTTATTCGCCCCTTTCGGGTCAGCCAAGCGGGCAAACATGGCCGTCGAGTTCTCGAAGTCTCCCGCCTCGTGCAGCCGGATAGCCTCCTGAATATCCTCGTCAATGGCCGGAGACGAGACCGCCGCGCCCTGCGTCCTGCCTCTCGTCATATCCCCTCCACCGCCCGCGTCGTTCGCCAACGGCGTCGCGGGCCTGCTCTTATTCGCCGAAGCCAACATGGTCGCGCGCTTCTCCCACTGCAGCTCGTCCCCCTCGCCACCCTCGGCCGTGGTCACAATGTCGGGTAGGTTCTGCGGGACGTTTTCTGACGAGGCGGGCGAGCGGCTGAGGTGCAGCCGCTCCGATAGCCGTCTCCCAATCTTGCCATTGTTCGAGTGGGAGTTGGAGTTCGAGCTCGCCTGCGAGGAGGCGGACGCGCTGCGCGAGCGGCTGTTGCCGAAGAAGACGTCGAGGCTGCGCCGGGGCTTCTGGCCGCTGCCGCCGTCGTTGCCGTTCGGGTTCAGGTAGTGTTCCTTGCCGTCGTCGAAGCCCGGGGGTCCGCTCGGGGGGTGGATGACCTCTTGGGTGTGTGTGTCTGATCGAATGAATTTGAACTCGGGGGCCGCCAGCCTGTCTACTGCATCCCTGCTGCTGTGCTCGCCGTTGTCGAGTTTCTCCTTCTTCTTGAGAACGTCGCGTATGCCCATGATGACGTCGGGAAAGAATTAGTGCTGATCCAGCATGTATGCTTGAAGCTCATGGACTAGGTAGGTCAGGTCTAGAAATAGGAGGGCCGGGAAATTAGAAATAGCGACAAGAAGAAAGAAGGTGTCTTTGGCAAAGAGCAATTGTTCAATTATCCATGAGTAAAAATCCAACAACGACCTATGTTCAACGCAGGACAGGCAGTGTTGTCAGACTTGGTGCTATTCTCAGCTTCGGGAAAGGATGAAGAGAGTGTGTAGTCCAAGGGGCTGAGCAGATGGCGGTGCTGTTCAAAGACGCGAATCCTCCCACAAGGCAGCGGCAGCAGCCTCAGATCAGCAAGCCCCCCGATCCGACCACGATATGGCTGCCAAATGACGGGTCTCCATTAGCGCCTCGCAATAAGCTCCCCTAGCCCGCTGTCCGAGGGGGACAAAGGAGGGCTGATCAGAAGACAACATGTGGACAGTGGCGCCGACTGCTCCGACTGGAAATGGGGGCGAAAAAGGGCCAAGAGGGGTCTCTGGGCAGTGGGAACTTGAAGCTTGTGTGGTGTGTCAGCGCAAGGAATTGTCATCGAATGACGGCTGATTTCAGGAGTCCACAGGGGAGAGGAATGGCGGGGTAAAATTCTAATGGAAATTTTAATTGATCTAGTTGAGACACCCGCGAACAGTTGGGCCGGCCCGCACGCGGAAATGATGCTTGGCCCAATGTCACTCTTCCACATGGAGAATTCTTCCCCAATATCACATACTGATGAAACTAATAGTAGACAATGAATTCTATGTTTTTTCAGAATCAAGTTTTTCGAGACTCAAGGAGACATCAAACATCGACAGGACATAGAGTCTTGAAATGTCGTTCTGTTTTACCCCGGCTCATACCATGTATTATATTTTTGCTTCTGCTTTTCGTGTTCCATAATGTATATTTCTATCCATTTCTGCTACTTCTTTTCGGTCTTCTTTTTCTTCTTGTTCATAATCGTTATCATGATTATCTATTCTTTTCTGCTTTGTGCTTGGTATCTTGGTATCAATGCTCTGTTCCTGCATTTCCTTTGTGGGTATAGTTTGTGGTTTTCTTCCCCAATCGTTTTCGTAACCTTGAAGTATGTCCGCCGTCAAATGGCTCGAGGCCTTTCTTGGTCTGGACCCCTTCAAGGACTGGATAGCAAGCATGTTAGTAGTGAAAAGAGACCATTCGGCCTCGGCAAGGTGGCATCAGATCACAATCAGAAAGAGATATAATCTTTCTGAACCTTGAAGTCAGTATCATCACCAGCACCATCGGTGATAAACTCCTCCACTTCGTCTGAGTCCACGTCGTCGCTGTCGACCGGCTCGTCATCGCTCGACAAATCCTCCATCTCGTCACCGTCCGCCCGTTTTCGAAGGACGCTTGCCCTCTCGCGGTGAAGGAGCTTGCAGCCCCTGGTTTTACACTTGCCCGTGTTGCTGAAGTCGGGGCACTCGAAGACGTGTCGCTCTTCGCATTCGCCTCCCTTGTCGCAGTAGCCGTACATCCCAAAGGAACGGCAGACCAGAGCACCTGAGGATACACTAGAATGAGCATAGGGACAAGTAGAGTTGGCACAATTGCCCTTGACGAAGTGAACGCAAGTCGGAATGCGCTGGGGCGTCAAGTCATGGGACAGATCGCAAGAATCCCCACTGGCGCAGGTTCCCTTGTGCAGCATCTCACGGCAAATGGCAACTTTCGTAGCATCGTGCTTGTATCGACAAGATGGTCCCTTGGCACATGAACCTAAAATGAAATGATGGTGGTTAGTGGAGTCCGGTATATCATACCCACTTGAGCAAGAAATCATCCAAATCTGTCGGATCGGATATTGCGTGGGCAATCGAATAAGATTGTGAGTAAAATACCAGTCAGCGAAAACATGCTGCAAGGCACGTCGACCTTTTTGACGCCAGTTTGGCTGGGGGAGCGACTCAAGTTAGCAATTGTCGGCCAGGAGGGAAGGGTTCATACCGTTGAGCTTTGAGCACACCGTCACGGTAAAGATTACCGGTCTTGCTTCGATGAAATTTGACACCCCCAACGAAGGCGACTTTGGGGGTAGCGTTGACTGGGTGTAGATCTCCTATACGATTGTAAGTTTGCTCCGCTGTGCAAGGCTGTAGTCGTAACGCACCCGACACCTTGATGAGCTTGCTGCCGCTGTTCGCGACACGGAAGCGAATGCCTTTAATCTCTATCTCGTGATTACCTGTCGCTGTCGGGTTAGTAGGAGTATGCGGTGCGCTTGCATTGCCGCTGTAGCGTTGGAAATGGCTGGCGAGCTGTTGTTGCTCGCGCGCGTCCTGCTGACGAATCTTCTGTTGGCGCGACGCCTCAATGGCCTTAACATGTGCTTCGTTGGTCTTGTCATAAACGGCCGAGTTGATCAGCGACCTCTGACCGCGGGTGTTCTTCGAGATCCAAGCGCCTGAGGAAGTGGTCGAGACAGAACCCTCAGCCGGAGACGACACATCGGAAGGAGGTGTTTGGGTTCCATCTTTGTTTACCACCAAGGACCGATGCCGAAAACCTGTCGGGCCTCCTCGGGTGGAGGGGTACGGCTGGACTCGATGCTTGTGAGGGAAGGCGCCATGTCGGTGAGTGTTGTCTGTGATGTGTAAGCGCAGGATGATTTTATCGGTCTCAAGATTAAACATACGACGAATATAGGAAGCCTGGCTGCTTGGGACCGATTGAACGCCAGCTTGCTGGGCCTTGTGAAGGTTGATCTTGCCTGTTTGCCACTACGTTAGAGAATACGCGCTCTTGTCACATGTGTCTGGTTACAGAAAAAGCACTACGTACCTGCAAGCTGGCCGATTCTGGCCAGCAGTTCTTGTTCTTCCTGGGATGGCATGTCCTAGTTTTGCAGAGTTGTACTGTCTTTTTGTTGTGGTGTTTCTGAGTTTTGCAACCAAAGAAATGCTGTTGCGCCTGAGGGAGTTGGTGTGTTTTTGCGAAGATGAGATCACCGAATGTTGGGAAGGTAGACGCTTTGACAGTGCGATCGGAGTTTCCTTGTCTTGGGCAGGTAGAGGGGACAGTGACCCACTTCACAGCGCTTAAGGCTCGAGAGGTAGCTGACCAATCTGCGCTAAGCAAGGTATGTGTGGCTGCTGGCCTGCTACTGCAAGGCTGTGAAAGAAGAAAGGTGCACGACCTGGAGCTTCTTTTCCTCTACAGCTGCTCCTTTTGAGTTCAGTCCTGCATTTTCATCATCGTCAACTGTGGTATCCGATTTGTCGCTCACATCAATCGCACTATCTTGCAACACTCAGCTCAGAAGAACTACGGCTTTATTGTTCTTGAGCTGATTGGCAGGACCAGCGAGGAATCGACCTCCTACAGCACAGCCCCAGGGTCGAAGCTCATCTAGCTTTTACAATTCGACAAGCGACACAATACAGCTTTCCTTAGTTCAATCCCGCGAAATGGCGTCAACTTGGGGTCTTCTGGATGATAAGGAGGAGCAGGAGTTGCACAAAACGCGACTGGTCAACATCGAGGAGAAGCCCTTCAAGCGCATCACCAAGCGGCTCACATCCATTTCGACGATTGTAAATGCCCACTCGAAACAGCAACCTACCCCTCCGCCCGAGGGCGCAAACGGCGACAATGACGCCGATACTGAAGTGAAGGAGGAGACGAAGACCGCTCAAACCCTGCGAGAGATTGATCAGATCAAAGACGACCTCACCCTCGACTTCGCCGCATTCGATAGCAGTATTGCCCGCCTGCAATTCCTCCTCGATGCGAATGTACGCGAGCGCGAACGCTACAAAGCTGACCAGCAACGCATTCTCGAGGAATGCCAAAACGTCCGAGACAACAACGCGCGGCTGCGCGAACAGCTGGATGGCGCCAGGGCGACGCTTGCCCAACGTAAGGAGTATGACAAGCTCGCCAACGCGCTCATGGCTAAGGGCCTGCGGCCGCGCGGGGAGCAGGAGTCGAACCTGAAGAAGCTCGAGGAGGAGATTCGCGACCTGGAGAAGGAAAGTGAGACCTATGCGGTGACGTGGCGGGAGCGACGCGATCAGTTCAGCAAAATTATGGATGAAGGCATGCAACTGCGCAGACAGATCCGCGACGAGAAGGAGGAGGTCGAGAGACGGGAGGGCATGAACGAAGACGGCGAGGAGGACGGCGACGCTTCTAGAGGGGGCAACACGCCTCGGCACGTCTCTAGCGGCAACGTCACGCCGCACCCAGACAGCGGTGCCGTGCCGAGACCGGCGTCGGCGCACGAGGGTCAGTCGGAGGATCAATCTGAGGGTCTCAAGCCTCAAGCGAGTGGCCTGGGCGGCTTTTCGCGATCTGGCAGCGCCGTCCCGAGTCAGAATGGCACTCCTCAGCCTCAAGATGATGATGAGGGCGAGATTGAAGAGGGAGAGGACGTTGAGATGGATGACCGCCATGATACCCAACTTACTTCGGGAGGCGATACGCCTCAAATCACAGTGGACGCACCGGAGAGCATGGAGGTGGACAGCTAAACAAATCAAGTGCTTCGCAGGATCCTAGAATAGTCCCTCAATTGAGATACCCATTAAATTAGGTAGCTGTCTTGCCTCTGACGCTCGCCTGTCCTTAACACAACGCAATCCCGAACCTCTTCTCATCTTTGATATCAGAACGCAGGGAAAAAGAAATAATCATAACTCTAAGCAGAGACGTCGTCTTTGAGATACGTCTTCTCCTCCTTGCCCTTTGCGAGCGCAAGTCTCGCCGTCTCCAGCTCCTCAGGCGACGCACCGCCGCTCTCAGCCAGAGCAATCTGCTCCTCCAGCTTGACGGTCGCGTCCTCGACGCGGGTTCTCAGCTCGGGGAACACCTTTTGCGTCTCCTCCACCGCGAGTTTCTAGTCCCCCCAAAGCCAGTCAGCCGGGGTGTTACACGCAAAAACGAATCACTGATACTTCGGAGGAGCGAGAACTCCAGCGGTAATGGTAAGTGACGGATGGGAAAACCTACCAGCTGCTTGAGCATGTACTCCCGGTTTCCGTCCTCATCGGGCTTGCCTTCCTTGATCTCATTCTCCAGAGTCGTGACCTTGCCTCTTTGCTGGATGAGTTCCTTCTCGTACGAGATCTCCTCCTTGAGGAGTCTGGTGACGGAGAGGGTCGCGACGGTGAGCTGGGAGGGGGGCGCCATGGTTGTCTGTTGGTGAGGTGGTGCTGATGAAGTTTTGAGTAGCGGCGGGGTGAAAGATTCAAGTTTGTAGTTATATCCGATGAATGGAGTTCAGTCTTCTGCGGTGGTGATGCGTGAGAATGGGGTCTTTCGGTGAAGTAAGGTAAGTCGAGGTGTAGTCAGTCTTGTAATTACATACCTTCCTATGTTTCGGCTGATTGCTTTCCTGCTTTTGTTTACTACACGGGATCCCGGCTGTTCCTGTTGCTTGGCTGGCTACGTCAAGGTGTACTCAGGCTGGTGCCTTAGAAAGGGTTTTGGTGGGGGTTTCACGGCGGGGTGCATCCCGGCAACCTTACCTCATCTCAGCAACCCATTTTGGGGAACTCGTCTTCTTTAGGCGACCATTCGTGGGCATCTATCTCTCAAGGCACCACGGATATCGCTCACCTTTTTGATGGATGCCTACTGCTCTCTGCATGCCGGTTCAGCTAGTCTCTTAGGGTGCAGGACATTACGCTCATTTATTGTGTGAGAGATATTGTGCCCTCTACATTCAGTTACCTAACCTAGGCAACAACCTCCATACCACTCAAATTATTGCCCTTCCAGAAATACACGTGTTAATGAAATTGGTATTTAGTTGATTGAAGTAATACATGAATTCCCACGTGTTAGAGTAAAGCTGAGACGACAATCGTACAATGGCATTGCTGGGTTTGATAGCCGCGTATGAAGAAGCCCATGCGTTGAATGCATTTGGAGATGATTTTGATATCTTTGCGCTGACAATCTTACCTATAACGAACCTTCAACCAAACTTGTATCTAATCAGATCAAAGACTGCAACAAGCACGGCACAAGCGCCATCACATATCATCTACTTTGATCTTCAGACTGGCTATATTTAGCGCTGGTTTACTGGAGCTGAATAACATGAGTTCATTCATCATCACTCATAGCTACAATATGCCACCGCAGCGAAACAAAACTGAGTAGTCTAAGCCGATGAAGCCTCCAACCCCTTCTTCGCAGCAAGCTCAACAGCATCAGCCGTCTCAGACAGAACAGAAAGGAACGGCGAGTGCGAAGACTTCAACTTCAACTTGGTCGCCTCGGGTCCCAGGAGCTGCTGCATCTGCTCCTGCGCAAAGTACGGAATCGCCTGGTCGTCCTCGCAGCCGACGTACATGCAGGTAATGTCATGCCAGGGCTCGTACGTTATTGTCTCCTCGAACGAGATGGTCGTATGATGCTTCAACAAGCTCTTTGCCTTTTCCCTTGCCTCTGAAGGAACGTCTCCGTAGAGGGGATCGTCGGCGGTCACGATATGGATCCGGCCGTCCTAACGTATGTTGTCAGCTCATCGAGACTCTCGGAGGAAGCCGGGAAGAAGGTTCCTTACCTCTATTCTCGTCCACGGGGGATACACATTGCCCGTCATGCTCAAGATGCTCTGCCCTTTCTGCCCCACAAACGCAGCGAGGTACATAAGTGTAATTACGCCGCCAGGCTTGCCCTCCGCGGCTCTCTGTTTGATCCCAAACCCTTTTGCGCCTTCGGCCGCCGCGAGACCGCCGTATGAATGAGCGACCAGGACGATCTGCCGACCTTGTTCGGCGAGCTCTTGCAGCACGGCAGCGGTGGCGGCCGCGTCGTCGTATAAGCCCTTGTTCGGCGGCTCAGAGCCGACGGAGTGATGCCTCACGCCGCGGGTCTCCCAGCCTCTTGTGTGTAGCTCGTCGCGGAGGTCTCGGAAGTGCTCTGGCGAGTGCCATGCTCCCGGGGTGAGTACGATGACGGGTTTGCTGGACATTGTGGGAGGATGCTATGGTTTGGTCTAGACTTTTCTTTGCAAACAGAGGAAAATAAGTCTGAGTAGATTACGAGAGAGATGAAAGTTCACGTTTCTACGGGCTCCATTGCGCAATGGCAATTGGCATTTTATATGAATTTCCGTGTCTATTTAGTCAGAGTGATATTGCCTTGGCGGGTGAGGCGTCCGATGTGGATCTCGGTCATCTTTCAACGTGTAAGCACTATTGACGATCTTGGGCATCGCGTTTCGAGACCAATCACGTTAGCGCCCAAAGTCCCAGTAAGTGTGGACTTTGTGGTCTGAGTAAAGTCGTCCTGTCAGACCTGCCCCCTCCCGCATGCGTGTTGATCGAGTTGCAGAATAAGACGACGGATACTCTTCTGTATGTAGGAATTGACCCCAGTTGCCGAGGTAGGTGCGAGCCGAGAAGTCGAGACCCCATTGTCAATACTACCGTGTCTGGAGAGCTTACTAGAGCTCCATTATGTTTATAAGCTTGTACAGTTGATGACTTACATAATTGTCGAACCTCGTTCAAAAGACTTGATTACACGTAGAAAATGTTCATAAAATGTACTGAGCTACTAGTTGTAGCAATGACTAACTACTTTGTTGTTGACATGCTGAGTGAAGATTTCCGGCTCTCACTTTGTAGACACTAACCTACTGAGACACAGTGTGCAATCTAGTTGCAGTTCCGCCATTTATGTTAGACACTGCGATTACACCATTCTCCTACGTGAGCTACTAAGACTTCCTGCAGGTTTGCGGATCATTTGATACATAATTAAGGCATGCGGTAAATGCTGCAAGTTTCTATTATGAGCGGGAAGTCTTAGAAATTCAAAAACAGAGTGTAAATATGTAAACTGTAAATTCGTCTAGGTTCCTTAATCATGAACCAGATATTATCAACGCACGCTACTTTTAAAACGGGGGTATCATCTTCAAGCACGCTCAAACCTCGACAACCTCTGCTCCTCCTCGTGATGCCTCTGGTACACCTTGCTGAGCTCCTCCAAATCCCTCTCGTGATCGCCGTTCCCACCAGTACTCCCAACACCATCAATACCGACAAACGGCTCAGACTCGATCCTCGAAACCATCTTCCCATCCTTTAGAAACAACGCTGGGTGGCACCCCACGATCGCCAAGAGCGCGTACCCGATAAGAAACCCCTCGAGACCGAGAAACAGTCCCTCTCCGCCTCCCCTCGCCAGCGGGCCCCGAAAGCCCTCTGCGTACTCGGCGACCCTGAAACACATCCTGCCGAACAAGACGACCATGGCGGACGGCACCGCACCGGCGAAGATGCGGAAACGGCCCGTCAGAGGTACGTAGCCCACGTCTCGGTGGAAGGTGGTGTAGCCGTATTGGTGGTAGGACCGGGCTGCGCGGAGGAGGATGAAGGCGAGGGACAAGCCCGCGGCGACTAGGGTCGCGAACTGGACGGCCAGCCCAGCCAAGACGATTTTCGCGCCCACGTCGTTGGGTGCGTACGAGTCCTGGGATGAGAGGGTGTACGGCACGTTTTGGAAGCCGATGCCGAGGCCTACGATTTGTAGGAGGAGGGCAAGGCCGTCTAGCGGGAGGAGAATGGTAGTGTAGAGCTCTGGCTTGATGAAGGAGTGTTCTGTGCCTAGTATCCGGACCATTGGTGCGAGGCAGACGTAGATACTGCAAAACAGAGAATCAGAATCAGATTCAGAATTCTTGTAGAGACTGGCACGGTATCACAGAAGAACTTAGACGTACCTTGAAGTCACAAAGATGGGGGCAAGGGTGAGCAGAGCCTTGCTCTGCAGGAGAGGGTACACAGCCCACGGATCGCTCCAGCCGGCCATGCGGTCCACCCAGCCGAGCAACTCGAGCACGCAGGCGAGGGTCACGATGACGGAGAAGGGGGTTGTTGCGTGTCGTTGCGTTGAGCGGGCGGCGACGGCGCCGTTGACGACGAGGCAGAGGGCCGAGACGGTGGCGAAGACGGCGCTGCCTGTTAGTGCCGGGCGGTAGCCGTACGGGCTGTCGGAGACGTCGCACGTCGCGAGCGTGCAGGGTGATGAAGTCATGCCGGTCGGTGTGATGTTGTTGGTGATGATGCGTCGGTGTAAGTGATTTTGGTGTCAAGTCGAGATCGAGACGGGCATCAAGTTAGACTCTTTAGAGCGAGTATCACACTCGTTCGAGGTCGATGAGTATTGGAGGATGAGAGGTGCAGTAACAACACCCACCCACATCGTTGATGGCGGTACCACCGTGGTTATATGTTGCAGCAAGCATCGTGGCCATGAGCTCCAAATACACAGGTTCCGATAGTATAACATTACAATCTCTCAACGATCCTCCAAGATCTACCAGATAGTCGGTCAGGCAGGCAAGGCTTGTTGGTGACAGGTGTAGCAGTGTCCGTAGTGTGGCCGTGTCTGCATCCTGCCTACCGCCAAAAGGTTCTAAGTTTAGAAACGGCGGTAGAAGTTTGGCGGGTGCTCTGCTTATTTTCGGGTGGGGAAACAGCAGGAAGTGGCAGTGCCGCAGCGAACTTCGCCGGGCCTTTTCACCGCAGCACCGCACGGAAAAGCGGAGATACGCCGGGGGGATGAGAGACAGCACGCTGGGCCAAACCGCTAGAGCTTCTACCTTTCTAGGCACCCGTAACCCCGGGGACTGGGTTGGCTGAGCCGGGGGACCGGTTCCCAGTGTCGGTTCACCAAAAGCTTCCTAGTCCAATATTTGTTCTAGCTTCATCTGAAGTCTCCTCCTTTCTCCTCTTTCACGAATGCTTGAAATGACATTCCCCTTTAAGCTTACTAGAAACTGACCCTAACGCCAAGCTAGTTTGCTTTTTCGAGGGGATCTTAACGGCTGCCTACTTCAACTTGACAGGGCCTCTGTACGCACCGTCGGAAGATGGACCAGGGCATCTCAGTGCTGGGCTGTTGGTGGCAGTCCACTGCGGCGCATCTAAGTTACCCTTGGCGCGCTTCTCCTCCAACATCCTGCCGCCTCAGCCCCCCTATCCAATGCAAGCACTACGCTAGCTTCAATATTCTTTTTGTACTCCGTAAAGTTTGCCAACTTGGCGTTGCCTTTGGCCTTGTTGGTCTTATTACCGCGCAGGCATGTATCGGAATCCTTACTATTGGTTCTCATAGCCGCTGCTTAAAGCAACCTAGGATTGGCCGAACACCATCGTATGCCTAGATCGTTTCACGGTTGCGGCGCTAGGTTGACGTGCGGCTGCTTCCCGATCAACGTCAGGCCAGCGGGTAGCTTCGCCTTAAAAGCCCCGGGGCAGATGATTGGTATGAATCTCGCAGTATGTTTGACATCAATCGATTCATTGATCACTGCTGCAAGAGATCCAAATCGTTTCACGTGGGGGTAGCCTGTAGGACAGAAGCATATTCTCAACAACCAAGAGGTTCCCTTTACCTAGGACTACAGAAATTCATCAGCAGCTGAAAGCTACTGACTTCGCATCATAATTACGCACCCTCCTCTGCCTCTGTCTCCTCCTGAGGAACGGGCGGGGCCTTTTCCTTCTCCGGCTTGCGACCAGTGATGCAGTAGCTATCTCTCAAGTCAGTACGGCGGGGCAAGAGAAACAAACAAATTTTGGAAACCAAAGCACTAACACCGGACAGTATGAATGATAGCTCTTGTTCTTAAGGTCATTGCGAACATCAATCAGGAAGACGTTGACCTCATCGCGCGTCCACCCGAGCACGCGAGTGAAGGCTGCCATGCATGTGGCTTCGAGTGCAGAACCGAAGTTCTCCAGCGTCCACGCCCCGAGCTTCTTGTATCTATTCATCTCCATTAGCCATTCGTTCTTTAGGCGACCTGTAACTCGATAAGGGGGAGCGCCAGTCTCTGCTCGTAGCTTACCTCTCATCCTTCGGCCAGGAGTTGTGAGGCCACTTGTACATGCGGAGCTCGACGTCAACGAAACCAGCCTCGAGCATTTTCGTCTTCATGGGAGGTGCCGAAACAAAAACGCGACCCGTCCTTTCAGAAGCTTCATTCAAAAGTTTGACCCATTTGATGACCGCGGCGTCTTCGGGCAAGAGGCCATCGTCGGATTTGGCCATGAGCTCGGCTTCGTGGAGTTCGAGATATCCCCCAGGCGCCAGGTTACTGTTTCCATCAGCAAGTGAGTCGCAATAGGAGGAAGGCATTTGTTGAAAAAACTCACTCATAGCATTGCTTGATATACTTATCCCAGTCGTCAATAGCTGCGCTCATGAATCTGCTGTGGATGTAATCGAAAGGCTGTGTGTAAGTCCAATCTTCCTCGAGATCGTCAACCTCGAACTTGACATTCGGAGGCACACTAGAATACCATGTTAGCACTCGCCATGGATGTTATAGCAGATGGGCTCTTCGTACAAGTCAGCCCGTACAGGCGTGAGGTCAACGCCGTATACCTGGACATGAAGTCAGTGTCAAGCTCTTGGACCTCCACCGAAATACGCTGAGACAAAAGTGAGGATTTCACGCACCTCTGATTCAGGATGCAAGTCACCAAAGTCCATGGCCCAGCTACCAGTTCCACATCCAAGGTCAAGCACTCGTCCGACCTTTGAGCCCACATCATTTGGCGGCGCCACACCGAGTCTGCCATCCAGCGTGTAAACAGTGATTTCATGCTGAAAGTCTAGATCGACTGGTCAGACGAAGAATTTCCTACAACGCAGTTGATGGGTTTGCCACAGCGTACCTAGTCTTTCCCACTCTGTTTCATCGTTGGGCATGACATATTCTGTTTAGAAAAAGAAGGTCAGTGGTTCCTCGGTGTCTCACATTGCTAAACGATTTTGGACTCACTGCCGTCCTTGTAACGATGATACGTCCGGCCGTTTTCAACTCGGTATTCGAGAATGGAGGCACTGAGACTGGTAGTCGAAGATGCCACGCTCTGAAACAATTGAATCGCATTAGTTGAATACCAAACCTCAGCAGGTATACATCATGCTTGATAAACTGGTCTGCATAGAGACTGAGCTGGTGCGACGGCCGCGATTCAACTCACCTCCAGTTCGGATTCACTGTGATCGGTGTCCTGTCGATATGTGAGCAATCTATTTTATGCTATGACGGTAACACAAATACCTCTGCATCAATCACGACTTCATGATCGATCTCGGCCATGATTGCGTCCTAATCGTGGGTCAACTCTGGCTGATGGACAGATAGTTTAGTTTGTCTCCTCTATATCTTGCTGGCTCTTGGGTACGTCAATGAAGCAAGAAACCCCAACTCGAGATCAATACTTAATCTCATACCAAGGAAAACCATCTGAAAGAAGAGCCGACAGAGGAACTGATGGGGATTTCGCTTCTTTTTGTGACGAGGCACAGCCAATTGTGCAACCCCTCTTTCCTTGGCCAGATGAGATGCAACCAACAGCCAACAGCCAACGACCCACGGAACAGTTGCCTCTTTCCCCTGTCTTCAAGGCCACAATGTGGATCACGTAGAAAAACGAAGCGAATAAAAACAACGATACGCGCCAAAGTGTTGTGACTGCTCAGAAAGGACGCATGCATTCCGAGCCCCCCCGGAAACCTTGCCAGTGAGAAACCCCGTATTGCATCCCGTTTGGACTCTCGCCTATGCACCCACCCACGCATGCTATCTTCTTGGGAAACCCTCTCCGGTCAGACCGGTTCAATGGATAGCCAACGATTATGGTATTCCTTGATCGGCTTTCTTTGTGCGCGCGTGATATGCCAGGTCCTGGTTATCTTCAAGGGGGGTGATCATGCTGTCCCTTTGTCCCGACATCTTCAACAAGAAAGCCAAGAGAACAAGGCCATTGTTCATTGCAACACACCTAGCAGATATAAATCACCCCAATTCTACACACCAACATAACTATTCGTTAGAATTTTAATACTTTAGTATCAAAACTTGGGTTTCTTGAGTTGAGCTGCGGAGCTTCACGACTAATGGATCGCATACTTTGATTTTGAGATTTAATAAATAGCGTTTGTCGACCATGATTACTTTGGGATTATAAAGAGCAGATGGCCTCCGAAAACCTCCAAATTTGGCGATATGTCAGTAGCGTGCACTACGTTTCAGCAACTCGGGGAGATTCTGGAGGACTTCTAGTAAATCCATTCTTCGTTGCCCTTAATCGTACATCATTGTGTGACTCGGGGTATGTCAGAGTGAATATGCCTATGCCTGCTAACGTGCATGTGAACGTCAGAGATACAAGAATCTTTGTTGGATATCGTAAAATAATCTCATGATGTAAACGCAGTAGTCAAGCGCTCCGCCTCGCGGCTATGTAATTGTATACCTCCCATATATACGATATTCTTCTTCCTAGATGTACCTACGAAGATACATGTGTATGAATCCAACCTTCTACGGTCTCCGACCTATGATACAGTATCTTGCAAATGTTCGTTAGTGATCTGACGTACGATAGCTACCACCGGAGCTAGCTCACAACTCACATTCGAAAGTAAGCGTGGTAATCCCTATTCCTCACATCGTGGCGCACATTAATGAGGAAGCCCTCGACCCTCGCTCGAGACCACCCAAGAACGCGAGTAAAGAGAGCCATACACAGCCCCTGGAGAGCACTGCTAAAGTTCTCCTGTGTCCAGAGGCCTAACTTCTTATACCTAATATCGTCCTTAATACTCAAGCTCTCACAAAGGTCCATTTGCTAGTGAAAGAGGGATGCTTTGGGGGAGTCGTTTGTGCATTACACTTACCTATCTTCTTTTGGCCACCCATTGATGGGCCACTTGTACATCTGAATCGAGACGTCCACGAAACCAACCTCGGTCATGAGACCCGCTAGCGCTGGTATATCAACGTAGGAACAGCCAGCGGCTTCGGCGCCAGATTGGAGGAGTTGTACGTATTCTGCTAATGCGCAGTCCTTTGGAAAGGTGCCGTCGTCGGACTGAGGGTTGATGTCGGCATCTTGGACCTCGAACCACCCGCCGGGGTTAAGATGGCTATTCAGCAACGCGAAGGCTGTCATTACTCATCGCTGTTCTCGAGGGAATGAAGAAGGGCAAAAGAGAGCGAAATCTTACTCGTAAGCGGATTCGAAAAACTTTCTCCAGTTGTTAATGGCACCTGTCATGAACCGACTGTGGATATAATCGAATGGTTTTGAGTATGTCCAGTCCTCGTCCACGTCGTCGATCTCAAACCTCACATTTTCCGGCACACTGTATTCGAAGGACATGTCAGTATCAACGAGACGCCGTCATCTGACACCCGCTGGCTCTCTTACTATTCTGGCTGGTTGGGCGAAAGATCTACACCATAGACCTGATTGCAGCGTCTGGGTAAGGAGCCGGCCATGAGAGATGTATGAATGGTTAGAATACCTCAGCTTCAGGATGCAATTCGCCAAAGTCGATGGCCCATATGCCGGTTCCAGTCCCCACGTCGAGGACACGCCCGACCTTGGCATCTTCGTCGCATGGCGGGGCCCGTCCCAGTTTATCGCCGATTGTATATGTGAATATCTCGTGCTGCATGTCTAATTCGTATGTTAAGCGATTGCAGAAAAGGAGTGAGCCGTCAAGCAAACCTAGTCTGTCGCTCTCTATCTCATCATTTGGGAGTACATATTCTGATCACATAGTTGTCAACCGGGGAGCTGATACACCATTGTGCTATGTGAAGACACGGAAGCTAGCTTACTGCCATCTTTATATCGGTGGTAAGTCCTGCCATTCTCGATTCGGTATCCTAGGATCGATTGGCTGATGCTCATACTAGATGAGGCTATGCTCTGCGATGCCATTAAAATCATGCCTTTGGGTGTGGCGATGTGCCAAGGCTAACCTCAATTTCAGAGCGTTCGTCTATTTGCTGCCCTTCTGCGTCAGTTTTACATCTCTTATGAGACCAATGGAGAGGAGTCCATACCCCATTATCGGCAGCGATGACCTGATATGTCTCCCACATCGCGAGTGCCCGGGAGACTGAGCAAGAAGGATGATGTGAGATGCGGAGTTGCTTGTATACTGCAGCATCGGCGACGCTAAATATTGTAAGATCAATCAGGAACCGTCCGGTGGTCTCTTAACGAATATTCGTTTAAAAAATGTATTACAGGTATAAATAGATGAAATGTTGAGAACGGAATTTCTTGGGGGGTTTGTGACGAAGGACAGACGCCTGAAAGGTCAATCATTTCCAATCATCCTCTTTGGCTTTGGAACTCCCCAAACCAACAGAGCAAACCAACCTGCATCATGCACGTCGACGGCGATGCTGCCTTCACTGCTCACTTACAGGGATTCCCATGTGGATATGGACCAAGGCACAGGCGAATCAGAATACTGGCTCTCCGCGCAACCCCAGAAGCGAGGGCGCCAAGGGGACCGGAGTCTTCACCTGATTTCGTCGTGATGCACGGAGATAGCGACAGGTCTGGGCCCCCGATCTGCCCCTCCCATTCCGTCGTGCTGTTGAGTTTGCCAGATTCTAGATCCATCCCATCGGTCAGGCGGTTTCGATTGTGAGAGTTGATAATGGTCTGTAGTTATGTCCCGTCTTGTGAAGTTTCTTGCGTGCTGCATACATGGACAGGACACGCTCTTCTTTCCACGCGCCACCTGATTTACTGCTCACTGCTGGCTCTGAGAACAAGCCTACTCCATTGGACACCTCAAATTTAGTAAATTCTTCAGTCATAATCTAAGTCGACTGAGGACATCGGAACGTTTTCGACTGACCGAGTAGGACCATGTCAATACTGACCACGCCATTCACACGCCTTCAGTATCGAACAACGTACCGCTCAAGCGTAGCATCCTGGATTGAAGCAGAAATCAGATCTAGTAGACGCGGAGCTGGTGGAAGCTGCAAACGCGGTTCATCAATATCATGACGATGTTTGCCTTCTCACTCACCCATGTATCAAGAAAATACGGCTAACCAGCCTCTCCAAACAGAGATTACTGGCAAGGGTCGATAAACATGACTCTTAATGACAAGATAGCAAGCACTCTTTTGACCTGACTAGCTGGGTTAAAAACAAAAGGTTGCGTCGAGGGGGAATCGAACCCCCGGCTCCCCGACGCTGCTGCATGGCAACGGAGAATTTTACCACTAAACCATCGACGCGGTTGAGAGTTTAGGATGTTTTACAGACCTATCAAGGGCTTCACGGGCGCCGTTGTCCAGAGAGTATAACAGAGCGACGACACACAAAAAGAAAAGATAATCCAGATCTGTGAGCCCGCTCCGAGAACTGTCGAAGTCTCGAGAACCGCCGTGTCTTGAGAATTCTACATTTGACAAGTGAGCAACCAGACAAGTATCAACTCAATTCCGACTTGTGAGGTGCAAGGTGTAAGGTGCAGAGGTAGGTACGCACCGTATCCACTGAGGCCATTTGCCTTGCAACGAAATAAGATCTTCAACCAGCGTGAAGATAGCGGTGCATATCCCAAAGCGGTCTAAAGCTACACAAAACATGACCGCAGTCTGCACAATATAATCAATCATTGAGTCAAACTTAAGATTTGTCTTAGCTGGTGGCAGAGCCGAGCCGCAGGAACGATTGATGGTGACTCATAGTGACTGGCCCGGGCTTTGCCTACGGTACGGTAGGTGGTGACCTCCTGCTTGTTTTGTCAGCCTTACAGCGGACGAAGAGTGGCAGTCTCGCCACACCTGTCGGCTCCAAGCCCGGAAGGGACCTTCTCCCAAAATTTTAGCGGGTCCACCCATCCGAACGCTTAAGTCCGCCCCAGCGACTTCACTCGAACGGAGTCTTGCCCTTTCTCTGCTGCGGATTCTCTTTTAAAGTCGCCTCCCCAGGTCCGGGTACCGAGTGGAAGTTGGATCCTAGATCTTTGTTCACTTTCATTCCTTTCAAGTTCTCCTTTTCTTGCGAGAGCGCGAGGCCTCTTGATTCACTTTCGTTGCCTAATCTGGCAGCACCTGTTCGAAGACGCTGTATTTCAAAAAGCGCAATCACGATTTCATCAACTCCTCATCATATCATCACCCTAGTTAGATTACCAGACATGTCGGACGCTGGTGCAACGCAGACCCAAACCCAGACGCAGACTCAAGCGGGCTCGTCAGCCGGAGGAGGTTCTCAGCCAAGCCGTCGAGGCAGATCAGGGAGAGGGAGAGGAGAAGGAGGCAACGGCCGTGGTGGCCGGCGAGGTGGCGGCAGGAATGCCAACCCCCAGCCCCGGAACCAAGCACAGCCAGCACCGGCTCCCGAAGCCTCAGCAGAAAATGCACCCGAATCAGAGCCAGCGAGCTCGGGGAGGAGGGGCCGTGGCCGCGGCGGTAATCGGGGCGGCCGGCGAGGTGGAGCGGTCCGCGGTGGTACGGTATCAGGAACTCAGCGAACATTTGGAGGCAGCCTTACGACTGCCGCGGACCCAAATGCGTCGGATGCACAGGGGCTGAGTGCGGATGCCCCGGACTTCGTTCCTGGGCAGCCTGTTGTCCACAGAGGGTATGTTCATACTCACCAAATCCTGGAACTTGGGCTGACTGATATCACCAGAAAACAACCTGCGCCGAAGCAAAAGAAGCCTCAGTATCCACTGGCACCAAAATCTGTAGCCGCAGATTTACCCACGCGCATCCATGAGGACATCAGCAATGGCCAGTACGAGTGTGTCATTTGCTCCAGTGAAGTATTGCGGCCATCTCGCGTATGGTCCTGCGGGCTATGCTGGACGGTGCTACATTTGTCTTGCGTCAAGAAGTGGTTCACGAGCCAACTGAAGAAGGACGACGACACGCGCTCTTGGCGCTGCCCCGGCTGCAATTCTAGTTTGACTGAGGAGCCGAGTGCTTACCACTGTTGGTGCGGGAAGGACATCAACCCTCGAAATGTTCCTGGTCTTCCTCCTCACTCTTGCGGACAGACTTGCTCGAAGCCCAGAGCAACATGCCCGCATCCATGCCCTCTCGAATGCCACGCCGGCCCATGCCCGCCATGCACCCTCATGGGCCCAACACAGTCTTGCTTCTGTGGCAAACACGAAGTGACGAAGCGTTGCACCGAGACAGACTATGGAAACGGATGGAGTTGCAAAGAGATTTGCGGAGACTTGCTACCTTGCGGCGAGCACTTCTGTGCTACTCCTTGCCACTCTGGCTTGTGTGGTAGCTGCGAGATTCCTGTACAGGCAAGATGCTACTGTGGCAAAGAGCACAAGGAGATTCCCTGCGATCGCCGCGACGACCTTCAGATGTCATTTAACTATGGCCAAGTTTCCAGCTCGGATTCCGAGGATGTTTCTGAGGATAGCTGGTTCGACGGCTCATTCGACTGCGGAGCGACTTGTGGGAGGAAATACGACTGTGGTTTGCACGATTGTGAGAAGACCTGTCATTCGCAGGACGAAGTGCCGGCACACTGCCCGTCGGCTCCAGATGTTATTGTTCACTGCCCCTGTGGCAAGACATCGTTGGAAGAGCTTCTCGAACAACCAAGACAGTCTTGTCAGGACAAGATCCCTCACTGCAAGAAGACATGCGACAAGATTCTTTCTTGCGGTCACCAATGCATGGACACGTGCCATACCGGTCCTTGTAACACATGCTTCCAGAAGCAGGATATTTCTTGTCGATGCACCCGCATTGTGAGCAAGACCCTCTGCCATCAGGGAGAGATTGCAACTCCAATGTGTTTCAAGGTCTGCCAGGCCCAGCTCAACTGCAGTCGTCACAAGTGTGGAGAGCGCTGCTGTCCTGGGGAGAAGAAGGCAATGGAGAGACAGGCCGCCAAGAGGAAGCATAGACAGCAGCAGGCTCCGGACGAGGTTGAGGCGGAACACATCTGCCTCCGCGTGTGCGGTAGGACACTGAAGTGTGGAACTCACCAGTGCTCGCAAATCTGCCATGCTGGGCCCTGCCCAAGCTGTCTCGAAGCCGTCTTCGAGGAGATCAGCTGTGCCTGCGGCAGGACTGTCCTGCAACCTCCACAGCCGTGCGGGACCAGGCCTCCTGAATGCCGATTCGACTGCAGAAGAGCACCTCCTTGCGGCCACCCCACGGTGAAGCATAACTGCCACCCCGACGATGTCGATTGTCCCAAGTGTCCTTTCTTGGTAGAGAAAGCGTGCATCTGCGGCAAGCAGAGGATGAAGAACCGGCCTTGCTGGCTGGAGGAGGCTCGTTGTGGTCTGCCGTGTGGGAAGAAGCTCAAGTGCGGGTAAGTGATATTGACTCTAATACAGCATCCATCGCATGTGCTAACTAGATGGCAGAACTCACACATGTAGGAAGGAATGTCACCGTCCTGGCGAATGCGAAGACGCTGATATTCCTGGCTCTCATTGCGCCCAATCCTGCGGCAAGACTCGCAAATCCTGCGACCACTCGTGCCAGGACTCATGCCACGCCCCCTATCCATGCAAGGAAGACCGGCCATGCCAGAGCAAGACCTTTGTCACTTGTGACTGTCAGCACCGCAAGAAGGAGGTGAAGTGTATGGCTACCAAGACCAACCCAACTCCGGATCGCGACATCCTGAAGTGCGACGACGAGTGCCTTCGCCTCCAGCGTAACCAGCGCCTTGCTGTCGCCCTCAATGTCGATCCGGATCACAACGACGACCACATTCCCTACTCGGACACGACGCTCAAGCTCTTCCGTGAGCTCTCTCACACCTGGGCCCAGAACCAGGAGCGCGAGTTCCGCGTCTTCGCATCGGAAGCCTCCGAGAAGCGTCTGCGCTTCAAGCCTATGCCCTCGTTCCAGCGCGCCTTCTTGCACGCTCTTGCCGAGGATTTCGGCTTCGACTCGGAGAGCCAGGACCCAGAGCCGCACCGTCACGTCTCCATCTTCAAGACACCGCGCTTCGTCGCCGCACCGAAGAAGACACTGGCTCAGTGCGTCAAGATTCGCACCGACGCAGCCAAGACAGCAGCAGCCGCAGCTGCAGCATCGTCTTCGGCGGCCGCCGCAGCGTCGGCACCAGAGCCCTTCAACGCCCTACTCCTCTCGGCTCCGCGCTTCGGCCTGACCATTGACGAGGTCGAGTCCGCCCTCGCCAACCATCTCAAGGCCTATAACACCCTTTCCTTCACTACCGCCTTCCTCCCGTCAGAGGAAATCCTCATCCGCGCGGTCCCCGTCACCTCCTGGGGCACTACCCCCTCGGCCATCGAGTCCTCTCTCGCGTCCCTGAAACCCCTCGTCGCGCGGACCGTAACCAAGGACGGCATCGCCGCAGCCGTAACAATGGTCCACGCCGACGCGAACCTCAACGTCCTCCGCCGCGAGGGAACGTCGGCAAACGGCAGCAGCGGCGGTTGGAACGCCGTCGTCGGCCGCGCCGCGGCACAGCGTAGGACCATTGCGCCCAAGCCCGCCGCCGACGCGCGTCCCGCCAGCGGCTTCGTCAGCTTCTCCAAGCTGGCGCGCAAGAAGGTCGTCGAGGACTCTGTCGCCGATGACTGGGAGGCGGCCGCCGAGAGCGATGAGTGAGGCGCGCCGCAGCGCCTCACAAGCTTCTCTTGCTTCGGCCAAGGAAGTTGTTAGCTTCTTGACTCTCTCGATCTTGAATGCAAGCAGGGAGGTGCCCTGGCGTGGCGGAGCTTGCAGCGTTGCTCGCCTTGCTTCTCCACACCTCCTTTGTGGTGTTGGCGATGTATCTACACAACGGGGAAGTTTTGACGGAAAGGCCAAGATTTGTTACGAAGTATAGACGGATGGGATGGGAGGTCCCAACAACAGGATGATATAGCATTATTTAAAAGAAATATATGAAATACAGAAAATTGAACATCAGAACTCAAGCGGAAAGATATGCCATCAAAATGAAGAGCATCGTGATATCAGAGCAGGGCGTGATGCGGTTATCACCATTTACAACAACTGAGCATCCCCTCCCCTTCTCTGCATTCGTCCATCGTGACAAGCCAAGAAAGATCCCTTCTCTCCTTCATTCCCTTTCCCCCATGACCCCCGCGACATCTCACATCCCTCACATTAAAGTAAAGAGCAAGCGCCAACCGTCCAGCTCTCTGCCACGTCAGAGAAACACGTGCATAAAACCCACAAGCTCCATACGCGAGCGACGGGGAAAACGGGATAGACGAACAAGCCCGGCCCCGGAACCCCAAGCATCCCCAACCCGGGTACGTCCTATCCTGTCCCCGTATGTTGCCCCCAAATTCCAACGAAGTCTGGCTCGTCGCCGGCAGGAAAAGGTGCCATGGGCATATCCCCGCTTGGGACTGGCCATCTACTCCGTACTTGTCCGGTGCGGATGGACGGGGGGCAAGGTTGACCCCGGCTCCGGACGATCGTGATAATCTCCTGCCGTTGAGCATCATTCCGCCAGATCGACGCGCCCACTTCCGCGGCGAACCAGTTTTGAGTATTGATTGTCAGATGCCTGACGGCAGATTGACAGGAAGGAGATGGGACGGAATGAAGTTCAAGGCCTGTCATTGTACTGTGTAGATAGAGCCCACTGCTGCTCATGGGGACCAAGGTTGTCTGCTGAACAGTAATTACATCGCCTGGTATCCCTTGTTCTCAAGCCCCTGTTAACGGTGAGAGACATGGCCATACCCCGTTCAGGTCAGCATGTCACCGGCGCCTCACTTCACATCTCACATTTTGACTGGTTTTGCATGGCTGCTCGTACTCATTGCTTCATTATGTTTATGTTGCGTCTAAGATATGCTGTCGCATCCCGGTCCGTCATGGGGAGCGGGGGGTATCATTCTTTGAAGGACCAAAAAAGGTGTGTTGAGAGAGGAAGATCACCCGCCGCCACGTACTGTTTTCTCCGTTCCATGCCTTCTTTTTGCTGCCGCAGTGTATCCAGGTGATCGACACCTTCACAGGTCGCGATAAAGGGGTGGGCATTACATCAACTCATTATCCTTCATGGATGGACTCCTGCAGTGGAGCCGGCGAGACACGCCAGTGAAGACGGACTGGCGGTCCGCCTCTGCCTCCAGTATGTGAGCCACGTGCTGTTGGAACCGTTTCTCGGTTAGCAAGTGGTCCTTCTAGAGGCGCTGCTTCTCCTCCTTGCTTGTCACGCCGGCGACATTGCCAAGAAAGTCCGAGATGGCTTCGAAGTAACCCTCTTCCAAAACACTCGAGTTGTGGTCGCCTGCGGGCAAGGGCTTCCAAATTTTAGAGGGCGCGGCAGAGAGTTCGTAAAGTTGGCGCATGTGACGGGGTCTAAGACATGTGTTAGTCTACAAGAGGCAACATGTGAGACACGCGAAAAAAGCCGGTGTAGAGAAAACCAATATCAGACTCTATGTCGTAAAAATTCAAATCAAGCGTCCCGAAGGACTCATATTTTGTGGGTGGTGACTTGCGATCATCATATGGTGTAGGAGAAGAAGCAGGAAGAAAGGGTTGCATGACACTTACGGTACGATTTCGTCCTGGAGACCAGAGAGAAACAGGATCGGCACGGATGTGATGCTAGAGATGATTGATTCGCTTGGCCAGACTTGGTGGCAGAGAAGCGTCAAGTACTTTGCTGGTGGCAACACAGAAGGGATAAGCTTGCGCATGGAGAGGAAGGTGTTCTCCAAGATCAGGCCAGCAATATCCCCATCCTTCTGGTTCTTCGACACCAGCTTGATGCTGACAGCGCCGCCCAAGCTCTGTCCGTAAACAATCAGCTTATGGTTGCTCGTCTCTGCGCGAGATCGGAGGTAGTTGAGGGCGGTTTGCGCGTCTAGGAAGAGGCCGGATTCGTCAGGTTCTCCTGTTGATAGGCCGTAGCCGCGGTACTCGAGCATGAAAACGTTGCAGCCGATAAAGTTGATAAGCATGCGGGCGATTGGCAAGCGGTGGCCAATGTTACCCGCGTTACCATGGAACATCAGGATGGTGACATTGGAGTTCTTCCCATCGCGCGGGCCGCGGATGTAGAAAGCCGACAGCTTCTCGCCATCGTTTGTGGGGATGACGAGTTCTTCGAAATCCTTGATGCCATACTGTGAGGGTCTTGGGACATCGGTTCGAGAGTTTGCGGGCATATGCGAGGGGTAGATGAGAGCTCTGGAGCGGCACAGCACAATCAGTCAGTCGGTCGGTTCGCTGAGGGTGGGATGAGGAAGCGTCACATGGACATTTGGGGGTGGAGGGACCTACTTTTGCTTGAAGTAGAGGAGGCTAGTCAAGACAGCTGCGATACCCTAGGTAAGAGAAGACGAGTTAGCATGCAGCACTAGCGAGGCGAGGCAATCGAGGCACGACCTCGGGCTCAGGCCCAAGAGGAGGGGTTGCAGACAGGAAGGTTAAAATATCGGTGTGAGAAGATGGGTAGCCCGTAGGACGAGGAGGCGGGAATGGCCATACCGTCGAGGCTATGGCTGGTAGCCGCATGTACGCGCCAACAGTACTGAGCATAGACGCCGTCTGCTCGAGGTAACTGTTGGAGGACGGCGATGCTGAATTGGAAGAGGACATTGCTCGAAAGAGTCGCGAGCAAGGCGAGAGGGAAAAAGGCGGAGGAAAGATTATATTCGTATTTGCTGCTGGACCGTTCGGCGAGTCCTCAGAAAGGAATGGGCCTGTTTGATGGGGAAGGTAAGGCCCGAAGCGAAGAGAGAGAAGCGGTGCAGAGTCCAGGAGAGAGCGGAGTAGCCTTGCCTTGGCCCTTGGTCGCGAAGGCGGTGGAGGCCGATGCTAGCGGGGCATAGGTACCTCGGTAGGCAGACTAGAGTGTAGCAGGTACCGAATGCGTGTTAGGCGTAGTCGATTGTTGGCATGAGGCGACTACGGACCTGGACCTGGTACTGGGACCGTCCGGGGCTCTCTTTCTGGACAACTGAGGTGTGGGCAGGATGGACGGACGGACGAACGAACAAGGGGTCGTGCACGAAGCGGAGGTGGTGGGTGTTTGGTGGTGAACCCTGGCTGGGGGATAGAGAAAAAGAGGTTGCTAGCCGGAACGAAAGCGAGGATCGGAGAGCTGATTTGTGTATTCGTCGAATGGTCAAATGTGTCAGTATCCACAAAAGTGTCGTTTGTGAGGTGTCGCTGGCCTCTAGGTGTGTGTGTGCGTGGAGGCGATTAAGGTACTGTATATGCGCAGGAAGGTCGATATCCAGCTGTGCTGTGGAGGATGGCATCGACGACGCGAGAGGTAGGATTGGAGGTGGTGGTATCCGTAGTCGTGATGGTGGTGCGGTTTGTCTTTAGCAAGGCCGCATGATGCAGGTCAGGAGGGAGTTGTGCTGGGGCGGGATCTGGCAGCCGTGCGGCCGGGATGGATGGCCGATGGCTGTCTACTGAAGAGATGTGGCTGCGGACGGTTCAATGCCGCTGTTCTGTGGAATCCCCGTCGTGTCCAGTCTTTGGTGGTGAATCGTGGGATGATATTGGGGGCAGGAGGGGGCTAAGAAGTTGCGGCGGGTCTCCTGAGGCTTGTTGATGCCGCAGGTGACCTGATTTGGTGGTAGGCCGCAGGGCTGCTTTCGGAGGTGCACGGCAAACAAGGGTCGCAAGTTGCAACTTGCCAAAGGCTTGCCGGATGGAGCTCAGTGGCGGAGGTAATCAATGTGAGAATGGGGAGAGAGTCAAGAGATACGATATGCGATGCGATGCGATGCGATCGGTAATGATGGTGGGTAGTTCAAACTTGATAGGTACTGCGAAGGTGCTAGCAAACGAAACGAAGCGCCGAGTCCGATGTCACTTCCACATCCGCTATTCGTTTCTACTTTGAGTTACGTCCGAGAAGATGATGGCTTTAATATCCGTCCTTAGGTCGGTCAAAGAGGCAGTGACGGAAGCATAAAAGTGAGCGTGAATTGAGCTCCCTGATAGGTTATGAGATGGAAACGTGTTCGCGGTCGTGTGTGGTTTCATTATGTTTATTTGTAAAACGCGACTAGCATGAAGCAATAAACACCACTCGATCTCCCTGCATGAAGCTTCATCAACAGCCGTCTACCTACACCTCTTCAAGCTTTGGGAGGTGTAGCTGTAAGGTAGCTTGGAACTTACACAGTAGGATAAAGTAGCTCAGGGGGGCGATCAATGCGAATGTCACCGCTTTCTGGCGTCGAACTATTACTCCGTACACTACTAGCTGGCGACGGGAAGCAATCCTACATTACATAAGTAGCTTGCACGCGTGACCTGTCGGGCTATGGAAGATGAAAGTATAAATAAATTTTTTGGAGTGAAGACGAAGTTGCCCTGCTAATCTCGGACCTCCAGGTGCGCCGTGGGATGACCTAGCGGGAACCGGTGATTGGGTAAAGCCCGGGAAGAAAAGGGGAAGCAGCGACGGTGATGGGAGCTTCCCGATGAAAAACGACCGGCGGCATTCGTGGCTTGAAGTGGACTCTGTTAACATCCACCCTTCACCACCTCATGCTAGGCACTGTCAGTCTACCTTACGTATACCAACATCCTGTACATTCACAGCCCACAGCTCATTGCACATTGTCATTCATAACAGCGGGGGAGCGCGTTTTTCATTCCAGAGCAGTTGA